ATAGGATGTTTAGGGAAAGCTTTTCAGAAGAAGGGACTAAAGTGGCAGGCCAACTTCCTTGCTTATCACTCACCTTCCAAGTCCATTTCATTCCCTAAATGGTATATATCCTTGAGCATTTTCTCAAAGTAATGAAGCTCATGGTGTGGGAGAGATACAAGATAAACTTGTTATGGGATTATATTCCTTTCTGTCATGAAATTTTCAAGAATCAACATCTTTGAATATCCTATATATTCAAGACAGTAATTTTTGGTCCTTCTCTCTTGCATGCATATTAGGAATGATGAGATTGTCTGAACTCATTTTATGCCTAATTAAAATAGTACAAAAACCCTAAGTATGTATCAGAAACTGAACTTACAACTCATAGCAGTAGAGAGCGACACAGACATCTGACACTACATTGCACTCAGCCTTGAATACAGGGTAGCTTATTCAGCAAGTTTGGAATGGAGACCTCTCTCTTGTGCACTTTTCAAATCTCAGCTTTGGATGTCTCCTATATCCCTTCAGGAAACCAGGGACTTTAAGTTTATCCTCTTCCGTTGTGTCTACTCCCTTCTCCCTTGAAAACATAAGGCCTGCTCTAAGAAAAGGAACTGACAAACTTAGTCATTTGGAACTGGAACGATAAGTGACTCTTAAGGCTCAGTGGGATAGTCTCCCAGTGCCGTTTGCATTTTAAGAAGGAAATAAAGGCCCTGATTAACTTAAATCACAAGCTTTAGAATTTCCAGCATCACCTAGTCCAATGAGGGAGGCATTTGCCCTCTTAATGGTAGCTACTGCTACCCCAACATTAATATCATCAAGTCACTGAGAATACCTCTTGTCCTTTTATCTTGTTCAATAATATTAAGCTATTTGAAGTTTGATAGTTTTTGTAATTGAAATGAGAATATATAGATCGATTTTTATAATAAAAACAGTATGAAAAATTTGAATTTCTATGCTGTTTCCCATACTTGCCGTTTCCCTTTATAGTAATGAATAAACTAACTCAGCCAAACAGAAAAAGTGTGAGAATGAAAAAAAAAATGAATGAAGAAATGACTTTCTGGGCCTTTGGCTCTTTCCTACGGAACCTTAATTTTGGCTTCTCTTACATGTTGCTGAGTTTAAGAAACTGACTTTTGATTGGCAAGGAGATTGTTAAGATTTTGAATAGAAACTTAGCTATTGAAAAAACTGTATTTTAGGTAAGCAAATTAGGGTGGGTTTGGGGTGTTTAGTTTTGAGATAAAACTAAAACTATTGAACATATCTAAGGTCAGATATAAGCTAGATATTTCAGTTCTTTTAAAAGCAAAGCCAAAGCCTGACTGCACAGCAAATTAAGAAAGAGGAAAATAACTCTGATTTATACCAGCCATGTGTGGCCACCATAGCCAGTTTGTTAGTCAGTTCATTGTAATTGGATTTCTGAATTATTTTTTTTCATCCTACGTTATTGCCATCTTTAAAAGGAATGTGGTCATTTTTCAGCTTCATGCATTGATAAGTAGTTACACAACTCCCACTGTTTTTCATGTGTATCTAATTTTTGCCACTCTTCCGAAAAATATGTGAAAAAACAGAAGTCACTTTATTGCATTTTACTTTCTCAGTAGAAAACAGCCTCAGCAGGAGGTACAGTATAATACCTAGTGCTCACAAGTAGAAACAATTTATTTTAGCCTGCAAATATTTCTGTGGCAAATATTCCTTGGCTGGGCACTAGGCACTGAGAAATAAGCAAAAGCAAAAGATGTGGCTTCTTCCCTCAAAATGCTTACCCTCTAGGATGACTATGATCTGCACAGATGCAGGGTGTTGTTATTCTCAGTGGGATGGCCTACCAGGCTCTTTCCTGTGGCTGTGTAATAAATTATCAAGTGGGTTGACATGACATAAATTTATTATCTCACCCTGTTTCTGTAAATCAAAAGTCTGGGCATGACTTGGTTTTTCTGCTCAGAGTCTCATAAGGCTGCAGTTAAGGTGTCAGTTGGGCTTATTCTCATCTGCAATGTTGACTAGGGAAGAATCCACTTCCAACTCCCTCAGATTGTTGGCAGAATAATTTTTTTGTGGCTGTAGAATTCACGGAAGCTTGTTTCTTCAAAGCCAGCAATGGAGAGAGACAGAGTCTCAGCTGCTTCAAATCTCTAACTTTGGGGATGACCTTGATCCTCTTTCAAAGGGTTCTCCTGATTAGGTCAAGCCCACCCAGAAGAATCTCTCTTTTGATTAAGTCGAAGTCAACTGATTGGGGCTCTAATTACGCCTGAAAAATCCTTTTGTCTTTGCCATATTCTGTTGGTTAGAAATAAGTTATAAGTTCTGCCCACACTCAAGGGGAAGGTATTACACAAGGGCATGACTTATGACTGTCACCCTAGGATGTGTTTGCCACACACAGAAAACACAAAATATAAGCAATGAAAATACAAGTAGCTTGATATGGACAACAAATCTAAATGGAAAGTATGTACAGGGACCGAGGGAACACAAAGCAAAAGGGTGATTCCTACATGGGAATGACTCATTTATTCAGCAGAAGTTTACTGTGTACTGACTATGTATCAGGCCCTGTCCTAAGCTCTGAGGCTTAAAGCAAATACTTAATGGCAAGCACACTAGCTAACTACTGAAGATATACAATGTCCAATTCTTGTCCAATATCTTGTTGTGGAGGTACAACACAGATGGGCAGACAGACACACACACACACAAAAGCATGTCTACAAAGCAACATAAGTGGGTTTGACTGAATAAAACAATCTCCAAAAATATCCCTTGAAATAAAATCGTGATTGCTTTATTCTGGTCTCTTTACGTTGTGTGGAAGGTGGAAAATCAAGGCCAGGGTTTGGAGATCTCACTCTTGAGTCTATTCAGGTAGTGCATGTGGTGAGCAAAGCAGCTTCACTGTTCAGTCAGTTCATTTACATATCACTTAAAGTTTGTTTGACTCTTTTTCTATTTATTACCTTATTGGATCTAACAACAGCCCTATCACATACACAGAGAAAAATTTACCACTCCCAGTCTACAGAGGAATTTTTTGTCCAAATTTACATAGGCAAGATAGAGGAAAACAAGGACTAAACCCTAGGTTTTCTCACTCCACATTCAGAGTTTTCTATACCATGCTTATGAATTAACAATAAGGAAGTAAGATGGAAGAAAAAAACAGTATAGAAAACAAAAGTATTCAGCTTCACCCGTTACACCATATATAAGATTTCCCTTCTCATTCCGTGTTTGGTGGAACCTGTTTTCCCTTGTTCATTTTTAAGCCCCAAATCTTGGAGGCTGGAATTCTTTATGGAGTCAGAGGATTTATACTCAAGAGTTTATGAAAAGAAAAGTCGTTGTCCCCAAAAAGTGCCCTCAGACTCACCTAGAGGGACCATTTTCAATGAATAGGTTCTACATGCCCCATTAGTTTCTCGATCTCTCTTCTGAGAGTGCAAACAAGCTTCCTGTTTTCACAAATGATTTTAATGATGTGAACATTTGCCCATTAGGAATGAGACTGAAATCACCAAATCATTTCATACAGGCTATTGCACAACTGATAGTTACTATAATAAATTTCAGGACACTGCTGACTGCTTGTTCAAATCTACTTTGGGATATTTTCAGTTCATCCGGTTTCCCCCCAGATTTTGTGTTCTTTCTATCATTCAGGCTACTTTAGCCCAAATGTTAGTCAGTTTTTCATTCTGTAGGCTTACTGTCTGTATCCAGGTTTTACATAGCATACTGAAGAGACTGCTTATTCACCTAAAGCTATCCCATCCTGTCAGTGGGAGAGCATCTCGGGCAATACATCCTGAAAGGAATGAGCATTTGTTTCATATAGATATAAGTTAATTGCAAAGCCCCTCTCAGGAGTCTACTGCAATGTTTTTTTCTGCAGGTGAAACTCAAAGAGAAAACAATAATGTCATATCTGACTGAAACTAACAGCCCCAAACCAAACTCCTTATGGGGAAAATTGAATTTATGATTCCATAGTCTTTTAGATACCACCTAATATGTGATTTTTTTCTGTCTTCAATTATTACTAAGTCATTTCACAAACACATTACATTAAGATATACCAAGCTTCGCACCCAAAATTTTTGGTAGATTGTCAAAAAAAAAAACCCTTTATAAGATTAAATTTAATTTTTTTAGGTATCTCAGTACTTAATATGATCTAACATAAACATCATGAGCCTTTCGTTTTATACTTTATTAGACTAGTAATCTGGGTCCTTGAATATTAGTTGCAGGCTTTATTACTAACTAGCTGTGTGACAATGAAAAAGTCACGTAATCTTTCTAGCCTTCTGTTTTCTAGTTTATTTCCCAAGGCTCTTGTGATGAATAATCAAGATATTGTATAGTTTCTATGAAGTGTACAGAAAATCTTCATAGAAAATAAAACACAATGGACAGAGTAGTTAATAACAATTGTTGGTAAGTTGAATGAGGTTGTTATTTAAATTCATTGTATGATAAGACTTTTGTAAATAATCACTCCCTCGTGTGAACATGGGCATTCTTAAATTGAAATTGTTTCATTTGAACTTATATGCTGTTTTCTAAGGAGGTTATGATGTTTTATAGTTATCAGATGTAAATGAAAAGCAAGTTTTTCAAAGATTCCTAATATTTAATATTTTTTATTAAAGCAGTGTATGTAATTAGCATTTACTCCCTATCAAGTAGGGTACACAATGAGGAACAGTTATTGATTTGTTCTGCTTGCAATACTATTGTATATGCTTATGTATGTTGAGAAGATCCTTTATCTCAGTACATATCACACGTGCAAAACTCAAGTGTCATCAACACCAAATTATTTGAGTTAGTCTTTTTTTTTTAACGAATGTGTCAGGTTTAATAACAAAAAGGGAATCAGTTACCAAGTGGCCAGATCTTTTCTGTGTCATTCATATTCCCAACCCCCATATCTTTGGGTTAAAAACTGACCTTAGGAAACATCATGTATCAAAGATGTTGATTACGATTCAAACAGAGATACAAAACTCAGCATCTCTTTCATTTAAAAAAAAAATGGAGAAACTTGATAAGAAAAAACTAAAATATTCTTATAGCTACCTGGGTTGGAGATCTTAATCCTTCCACATAGATACCCTCATATCCCCAGGAGGCCATTTGGGCTTAAAGCAAACTGAGGCCATTACTCATTCCCTTTCCGGCTCTTCTTGTGGCTTTTCGTCTTTGAATGGCTCCTGTGTCTGTGACTATGGTGATGACCTCGGGACTTGGAGCGGGATCTGTGCCGTTGATCTCGGGACTTGTTGCGACGATGTCTTGGACTCTTGCTCCCCTGCTTTTCTCGACGGAGGGAGGGGCTTCTCCTTTGGGGAGATGGACTCTTGTCTTTTGGAAGACTGGCTCTTACTCCTCCCGTAGCTCAGCGTAGGAGAGCAATGGGGCTTGTCCAAGTCTTGGTAGCTTCTCTGGCGGTGGTCAGGTGATGCCACTCCCTCATCTTCCTCTTCACTGGACTCCACGTCATCCATGCCCTCTTCTAGAGCACTAACTCGAGGCTCCAGTTGCTCAGCTTCCTCTAGCACATAGCGTTTCTGTAGCCAGGGCAGAGTGATACCACACATTCTCTTGCTGTGCAGTAGTTCATCAATAAACTCATCTATATGCATCAGTTCGAAATCCCCATCTCCGTTCTGGATCTTGATTTTTCGATAGTCATTGTACAAAGGCTCCAAGTACTTGTAGCAATCAATTGCAGTGCCTGTCAGCCTCATGTAAAATGCCCCCAACACGCGGACATACTTGAAATCTTCATTTTTGATGAACTCTACAATGATATCCTTCTTGAGTTTAATTTGAAGCATCTTCAAGGTTAAACACAGAAAGGGAGTTGGTTTTGTGTTGCCACCATAGACGCCACCCACAAATCTTAACTTAATGGCTTTATTCTCTACAAGATCAGCCGTAAGTCCAAAGCACTCATCTTTCCAGTAGTTGGACTCATAGATTCGTGTTCGAATGAACTTCTCCACCAGATGCTGAAGGTTGGTGCCGTGGATGCTGTGTGCATCCTTCACTAGACGGGTCGCCATTTTAGAATGCCTTCGGTTCTACTTCCGTCGAGTCCTTGAATGCATCACATCCGGATTAAAAAAAAAAACAAAACCGAGAGGCACGGAGAAAAGCGGAAGAAGTCTCGCTAAACAGTTTGGGTAACCCCCTTGAAACCAGAAGCTCTGTAGTGTAAGGAACTTACTCCGTGAACCACATCACCAATAGAATCAATGTGAGTTATTCTTTACTAAAATTATTTTTCTCTTTATTTTCAAAAATTGTGGTTTTTGAAAGCACCCAAGAAGTAACTCAGGCCAACCATGATGGCTTAAAATGGGGCGAATTTATTAGGGCAGTAATATGGTGAATGGACAGAAGATAAAATGTTTTCCAAAATAAATGTTCATGTAATTTTCACTACCTGAGTTCTTTGTTGAAGCAAGGTTAAGAAGTTAGGATAATATTCTTCCTGAATTGTGAGCCTAGTGCCACCAGGCCTTCAAAAGTTGAGCAGAAAGCAGCTCGGCTTTTGTCTTCCTACTGTTATTAAAAGCATCTCTGCTTCTGTTGACCTTACTTGTATCCATGGGAGTCTCATCCCATCAAGGAACTTTACCTGTCATTGTAATGCATTTCAGATGCAGGTGTCTAAATTTTTCCTTTTCCACTTTTTTATTTCAGGTAGTATAGTAAATTTAGACTTCCTATGGAGAGGACATCATATAAATAAAATGATGTCTCAGATCTTCACATACATGTCTCCATGTTAGTGTCTGATGGTTTTGTTTTGAATTATGGGTATACCGGCTATTAATAGTGCCAGAGAATGTGGCAAAAATCCAACTTCCTACACATTTCTGTTTAATATGCAAAACCAATCCTTTTTCTATCCTGTTCTTTCCCACCTTCTCCTCCTGTCTCTTCCATCCTCATAATGATGTTAAGAATTGGTATAATTTCATTAATTAGAGGTTATGCAAATTAATAGAGAAGGTTTCTTTTGATGGCCCAGATAATGTGAAGAGAATCACTTTCTCACTGTAAACTAATCTGTAATGACAGACACTCAATGTCATTTGTGTCACTGATAGCTTTTTATGTTAGCTTTAGCAACACTTGTCCTACTGGATGGAGTTTGTTTTCTACTCATGGAAATGATATTCAGTCATGGACACCTTTTTGGTAGAAGTTGAATGGAGGAGATGATTAGTATTGGAAGTAAGCCATACTCCCTTTCCAGAAACTTCCTATGCTCAGGATGAATGCAAATTGACACCACTCTGGTATGTCTTCAGTAATAGAACAGTGCCTACAACTATGGTGTACTTATACAAATTAATGAGTCAGTGGAGAATTAAAGGCACAGAGGAAAGGATCTTTTCCCTGTTATTTACTCAATGAAGTATAATTTGAAAGGTTGCTATTATGCCTTAGTTGCATTCTTAGTCCGATGGAGGAAGTCAATGAGGCAAGTTTACAAGTGTTCATGAACTGTCTACTATGTGCTAGGTTCTCTGCTAGGTGCTGTGCCAGGTACAAAGCAATAATTTTGACATTTCAAGTGTTAACTTTATGTGCGTTAGACTTTCAGTGCAATACAAATTCAGAGAAGAGAAATTTAGTGCAGTCTGTAGTATTTATGGATGGCTTTGTAGAGGAGATGAGACACTGGGGCTTGAGGAAAATCTACAATCTGAAGAGATCAAGAAGAGGAATAAAACTATTCCACTTGGGCAGAATGACATAATGAAAGTCTCAGACTTTATTTGATAGACAGGAAGAAATTATTTGAGGATTTTAAGCAGGTATGTGACATGGTAAAATGGTATTATCGGAAGGATTGAAAGTGGCTGGAGGAGGGTGAGGGTTTGTCATTTAGGAGGGTATCATAGTAAGCTATCAATCACTTAAACAAATGGCCAGTGCATGTTTTGTATACATACAGGGCTGAAATCAGTGAAAGAACTAGTTGTTTTGAAATTAGCTGACTTGGAACTGTTGTGAAAAACAACCAATTTGATTGAATTCACCTGTCTTTCTCCAAATCAGCTCATTATTACAGGAGCACTACGTGTTAATTACACTCAGAAAAAAATCACTTAAGCTTGTTGTTTCGTGGCTTAAAGGCAAACCAGCTTGTAGATTACCTAAAAATTTGGCTTTTCAGCTGGAAGTTTCAGTGTTGTGTCAATACAGCCTTTTAAGAGTTGCATAGATATTGGCAGGCAGTACTAAGATATGTTAGAATTACTAGGTGTTAGGAAACAGACTTAAGTTATCACCCATAGCAAAATAAACCCTTGAGCAAAGAAGTGACAAGACACCATATAGTATATTTTATTAAATAATTTTCAGTGGTTTAGAATTTATTAACTTATAAATTAAAAATTACAGGTTGTAGAATGGATGAGAAGGAAAAAGTGACCAAAAGGCACTTTTTATATATCATGTTTAAAATAATACACATTGAAGAACATGGCTATTGTTAGGAAACAGGCTTTTCTGAAGAGAAGCAGTACATTTGTCAAAATCATATGCCAAAGGGTTTCTATTAGGCTAAACATTAAGCAAAATTCATGGACATTTGTTAAACCTTTATTTTTGCAGATCTGAATGTCACGGAAAACTTACATTTCCTGGAGGAACATGAACTTCTCTATTCTTAAAAATACCCTAGAACATCTTTATATTTGCTCCTCATAGCCAACCGAAATATAATAGTTACACTGATGTCTCTTGATCATTAGCTATTAATGCTTTCCAACTAGCTATTATGATGACCTTGACAATGCTAAGTAAGTTACTTGGTTGTGACAACCTTTGGCAAGAGTGGCTTACTGGCTGATGACACAGATCCTAGGGTGATTGGGGCAATATCAGGCAACAAACTCCCTTTGAGAAAAGAACCACTTCTCTGTGGCAGTTCTTGCCCAACAAGCACACACTGCCACTATTGACTATAGCTTCCAGATATTAGCTCCCAGATAATAGCTGTATCAGTAATATAGTATCCAGAGAGACTCGAGGCAGGAATGCCACTTAAGAGGCCATTGGCATAGCCCAGAATAAAGTTGATGGTGGCCTGAATAAAGGTAGTAGCAATGGGGGCAGCAAGGGGTGGGCATATGGTCGAGACATTGGGATGGTTGAATTTTCAAGTGTTGGTAACTCTAGGAAGGTGTTGTGCTAAGAATAAGAAGAGGGAGGGTCAGAATGACTCCAATGCTTCAATTTTGGGCAACTGGGAGTGTGGGTGTTATTAAATGAAACTGGGCATTTGGCAGTAGAGTAGCTTTGTGGTGGGAAAAGATGTTCTATTCTGGACATGTTGTCTTTGCAGTGTCCAAGGAGGCAACTGTTGAGATTGCGAAGTTGGGGTTGGGAAAGAGATTGGGGCTGGAGATGAAGTTATTGGAGTCACCAGTATCTTCAGAATTTAGGTGCAAATTGAAGCTGTGGCAATGGATACAAGTATCCATGGAAAGAATATAGAGAGCCAACAAAACAAAATAAAATGGGCTGAGGAGAAGACCTGAGGTGCTGGTGTAGGAAGAAGAGTAGCCAATGAAAGAATTAGAGAAGGGGCAGTCAGATAGAAGAATTATAACCAGGATAATATAATGTTTTTGGTATCCAGAGGAAGAGAGACAAGAGGTGTGGGGTCGTTGGTACCGTGAGATATTGCAGAAAAGTTGAAGAGGCTGAAAATTGAAAAAAAGGCACTTGGATTTGGCACGTTGGCAAACTTTAAGAAGTAATTTCAGTGAAGTGGAAAGAGCACGTATCAGATTGCAGTGAGTTACCGAGGAAGTAGAAGTAGGAGATACATTCTGTGTCACACATCGTTAGTGATAGGAACAATAGTGATGAAGTAAAAAGAAATATGAAAATTGTTTTAGCTTTATGAATTTTAGTTCTGAGAGTGCACAAATGTTTCATTAGGTGGAATCCCCAGTCCATATGCTTATACACAATGGATCCAGTGCAGCTCTTCCATCTGCAGTATTTAGAGTAGTTTGCCCCTCATAATATCAATATGGCTGCAACAGCTTCAGGCATGACAACTTCATACACCGATGCAGAAAGGAGGAGAAAAAAGAACTATTTGTTTCTTATGACTCTTTAAGTCCTAAGAAATCTTTTTCACCCCTTTGCCCCAAGATTTCCCCTTACATCTCATTGGCCAAAATTAGGTAACATGAATCTTTCTTTTGCTAGCCAATCACTGGCCAAAAAGCAAGTAATTACCATAATCCACTTACACTAACCAAGATTAACATTCTGTGATTGAGCCTGGATCTGGGGATGAAGCTTCAGCTGGGACGGGGGCTGGGGCTGGGGCTAGGGCTATATTTTCTTCTTTTTTAATAGCTTTATTGAGATACAATTCACATACAATAAAATTCACCCATTTAAAGTGTACAATTCAATGGTGTTTGCTCTGTTCACAGAGTTGTGCATCCATCATCACCGTCAATTTTGGAACAATTTCATTACCCCTAAAGGAAATTCCATACCCATTAAATCGTCACTCTCCATTCCCCCTTCTCCCAGCCCCTGGCAAACACTAGTATCCTTTCTATCTCTATAGATTTTCCTATTCAGGAGATTTCATATAAATGGAATCACACAATGTGGGGCCTGTGATGACTGGATTCTTTCACTTAGCATAATGTTTTCAAGGTTCATCCACACTGTAGCAGGTTTTAGCACTTCATCGCTTTTTATGGCTGTACATTTGTCCCTCTGTATCCATGGGTTCTGCATCTGTGGATTCGACAAACTGCAGATCAGAAAGTTAAAAAAAACAATAAAAATTAACAACAATAAAAAATAATACAAATAAAAAACAATACAGCATGATAGCTATTTATGCAGCGTTTATACTGTATTAATATAAGTAATCGAGAGATGATTTAAAGTATACAGGAGGATGTATGTAGGTTATATGCAAATACTATACCATTTTATATAAGAGACTTCAGCATCCTCAGATTTTGGTATCTGAGGGGTCCTGGAATCACCCCCATGGATACCGAGGGATGATTGTGTAATATTCTATTGTATGGATACATTTTGTTTATCAATTTGTCAGTTGATGGGCATTTGCGTTGTTTCCACTTTTTGGCTATTATAAAAATGCTGCTATGGCCGGGCGCAGTGGCTCACGCCTGTAATCCTAGCTCTCTGGGGGGCCGAGGCGGGCGGATTGTTTGAGCTCAGGAG